TAATTGACTGTATTTTGAACAGGTTGGCCATTTTGCCCTGAAGAAACTTATTTTTTTAAAAATGCTGGAAAAAAACCTCCAGACAAAATGGAAGGAACTAAAAACAATTGATAGGATAGTTTAGGAGATGATTGTAGATTAAAACAGCTTAAATTTATTCAGAAAGTTTAAAATGTTTTACTTTTTTTAAAAAATTGCTAATTTCATATTTTTTTTATAGTACTTATAGAACTTTTAAATCTGTATACTATGGAGCAAAATTGGGAAATTTTGCTTCTGGCCGTTGGCCAGTTGTAGCATTTCTTAACAGTGGCCACTTTAAAATGTCTGACCACTTTTAAAAAATTAAACATTTAAGCAAAAGAAACTTTATAAAGCATTTTTCAAAATATAGTAAATATTTAAAGACTCATTTCTAAAATGAAGGAAGGGTGGGATAGCCTGGTTGGTAAGGCACTAGGCCCATGTCCAAGAGTTCGTGGGCACGATCCCTGCCGGCCGAAGACTCCCCATGTTGTAAATGGTGACAGATGTACGTTGAACCTGTCAAGTCGTGAAGTCCTCCTTGTTCCCATAACAAATCAATACCTCTGGTGGTACTGATACATGAGTTTCCTTATCTTCTGGATTGGTTCAAAATTACAAGGTTGAACATTGGTAGTCGTAAACTCAAAATTGGGTCGGCTGTTCAGCCATGGATATAAAATTAAAATAAAAAACAACTGTGAAATGAAGTAATTATCAGATTAATGATTATGGTAAAAACTTGCCATCTTTGATTTTGAATAAGATTGACATATTTCTGATATGATTTTTCAATATTGTTTATTGCTTTTTAATTCCAGCCGGATTCCTATGTTTGCACAGCTCGTAAATTGGATCCTCACGAATCCTATATTAGTAAGTATTACACTCCATACTTCTTATTTTATATAAATATGATGTACATGTTGGGTTGCATAAAAAAATTTTTAGCATCTTAATAGTTTTTGTGCTTAACTTCCAATTTTCACTAGTTTTAATCAATATTGTAATGATTGAAAAATTTATAATTCTTAAAAAAATGCATATTAATATTTGATATCATGGGGCATGTTTCATATTTAGAATCAGTGGTTGGGATTAATGTCTTTTAAGTTGTGAAATTTTTGTAATCGCTGCTTCTTCTTTTTTTTAAGAAAACGAACGTGTAGTGAGTAGTATGATATAAAAGAACAGTAGTTAGGATTCTCCACAACTACTTTTAAAGTTAAGTAAAGCAAGCTTCAAACCTGTTAATTTTTCAAATTTAATGGGTGCAATTCAATCATGAAGATTAATCAAAGAATTATGTTTGATACCTTTGAACTGCATTAATAAAGAAGAAAAGTAAAAAAATAATGTATAATAACAAAATAATAGTTTTTATTTTTCCTTACTCTTGCATTCCATAATTTTGGACATAAATTGGTATGTATGTTATGACCAAAGTGACCAATCAGTAATTATGAACAATTATAAATATAATCTAAACTATCATTAATAGAAATATAAAAATGAAAATTTAATAAAAATAGGTACTAGCTTATAATTTTAAAATAATTTCTTGACCTCTATCTTACTTACTGTGATCAAAACTGAGATCGCAGATAGATTGATTTACTTTTGCCGGTCAGAGATCTTCTTTTCAAAGCAAATCAGCAAATTTCTTGTTGTATTGCTAGTTTAAAGTGGATTTTTTTTCTGGCAAGCTTCTATGTGCTTACACCTGTTATATCAGGAAGGTAATGAGATTTAACAGTATAACAATCTAGTGGTACTGCATTAATGTTTATCAAGAAAATAAATGAATTTTGCTGATTAGTAATTTTAGAAGTGCTTAGAAAATCCATAAGGTTTAGTATTTTTGAGATAATTCTTTGCTTATATTAGTATTTTTATTATTATTTTTTAAAAAGTAATAATAAGAGATACTTCGTTTTTTCAAGCTGTTTAATATTTTTCTTTTAGTGGACCTAAGACTTCCTTTACTGTAGCTAAATTATATATTGTGGTTTTTGGTAACATTGAATCTTTTTTACGTAACGTAAATCATATGTTAAGGTGGTTTTTTTTTTTGTGTTAGGTAATAATTTTTTTTTTTTTTTTTAAAAATCATCCGAAATTGTATCTAACTTAAAAAAGAAAGCTTTTTAAGTATGCAATGAAAAAGTATTATTTTAGCTAATTTTATTATCAAAATGCAGAGTGCATTCAGTTTCTCATTTGATATCAATTTCGGTATAAGTTAATCCCAAAAGATACTAGATCTATTCAATTCACAAAAATATGAGTGTGTATCATACTGTGTAATCAATCAAATTGGAGATTTAGTTTTTTAAATAAATTGAGAAAATAAAAACTCTGGTTTCCATATTTAGTCTGATGTTTGGTTATTTATCAATGATTTCTTTCATGTGATTCCCTTTTATTTCAGTAAAATATGATCCAGATGTTAATGCTAAAACTGCACATCATATGCTGTTGTTTGGCTGCAAAGATTTAAAGAATCAAAACCACTTATATCCTGCACATTGGTAAATTATTATAAAATAGTTTTTTTAAATCAGAAAATTATAAAATGTTTAGAAAGTTCAAATATATATTCTTCCCAGTATAAAACTGTTGGGAGAACATTTTTGCAGTTAATTTTCGCTCATTTTTCTATATCAGAATTTATAATTTTGAGGATTAAGATAACGACGGAACTTTCATTACACTAAGTTAGTTTTTATTTAAATATTTTTTAATGCACAGTTTTTAAGACCATTCTGAAATAATAATACTGCTTTAAATAAGTCAGTCATGAAGATCTTATTCCATTTCATGATTTTTCACTTAATTTTAAGAATTACAGTATACTCTCTTTATCTCAAAGGTGAAGGAGTGCTAAAAAAAATTCGAGATAGCATGTTTTGGAGGTAACAAGTTCAGAACTAAATATGTTCTAAAAAATAGAAAAAATATATTGGAAGATAGTACTCTAAAAAGTAGAGTCGTGAAACATAAAAATAACTACTAATAAACATGCATTTAATGATAGTTGACTACAAGTCTAAATACAGTAATAATAATTTTATTTTTAAAAGTGAGGCAAAAATGACTATGCATTTAAATAGAAAATAATAGGTTTACAATAAACTGACATTGTAAATTTTTGAAATAAATTTTTTATTTCGTAAAATATTCGACATACAAGATTTTGATAAGAAACTCTTCGACATAGGAATTCCATTTAACATTCATGTGGATATGTAATGCCATGGGAGGAAATATTTTTTTGTCTAAACAAGGTTTTCAAGATATCGAGAGTATACTGTATATCTACAGTGGTGGCCAAAAGTGTGGACACTTTTTGAAAGTTTCATGTCTTTCAAATTTGTGTGCTTGTAGAATATATTAATTTTCACTTAAATACAAAAGTTTATGTATCAAATTGAAGGTAATTTAATGTAGAATTTAATAATGAATACAGTATTACAATATCTGTATTACAAAAAAGTTATGCAACTAATAGTAAGATCTATCTTAGATTTGCATTTTTTTAAAGTGATACATACACAATCAATACTTAGTAGGATTAGTACCCTTATTTTTTAAGACAGCTTCCCAGCTTCTTTTCATTGAGTGAACGACTTTGAAGTTCATCTTTTGTAATCACATGGTGCCAAGAATCAATTATAGCTTCAATAAGTTGTCTTTTATTGGATGGACGGCGATTTTCTATCGGCGATAGCACTTGTGCATTTTTTTCGGCCTGATTTGGCTTCATTTCCCACTGATTTCGTTTTTTCATAATGTAAACAGAACTTTCGTACACCAGAACAAGTCACTGAACCACTAACTTGTCTTGCAATTTCAGCAAAAGAGAGGCCATTTTCTCTCAATATGACAATTCGGCTTCTTTTTGTAGATGTCCAATTAGTTTTTCTTGTTGATGACATTGTTTAAAATCAGTTTAATTAAAAGAAAGGACTTTAAAATTAAAAAACAGCAATACTCTATTTAATTGTACTAGTATGCATCATTCCGCAAAACATTTCCACAACAATAACTCTTTTGCCATCCAAATAACATAAAACTATAGTTACAGACATTTGATTGGTCCTAAGAACAGTGTTTTGTGATTGGCTAGTACGCTTTTATTACAAAACACGTCTTTATTCAAAACGATTCATGTTTGTTCTACTAAAATAGGCATAACTTTTTTTGTAATACAGATATTTTAATTCTGTTTCTGTTATTAAATTTCACATTAAATTATCTTCAATTTGATATATAAACTTTTGTATTCAAGTGAAAATTACTATGTTCTACAAGCACACAAAGTTGAAAAACATGAAGCTTTCAAAAAGTGTCCACACTTTTGGCCACCACTGTATATCTTTCTATATCAATTTTATATTTTTTCATTGTATTGTTCTATTTTATTTTTTGATTGATAGGTATCTAAATTTGTTTAATTAATCATAGGTGTGTAACACTTTATTACAATTCATTTTTATAATAATGTTAGCTTTTGTTTTCAATTTATAGTCCATACCATGAGTTTAAATTTGTTTTCAACAGGAAAGTTTTAAAAACAATGTCAACTTTTATGTTTTTCAGCTTTGTAATTTATTTTGTATCTTTTTAGGAACTGTGCCCATAGTGACCTTTGTGATCAAATAACTATCATGTATGGCTGGGCAAAGAATGCTCCTTCCATAGAACTACCTGCAGGTTTGTAAATGATTTTATAAAATTATCATGACTAATTTCCAATGCAGTGAAAATAAACATTTCCTTTCCAAAACAACTTCAAGATTGTGTAATGAGTTAAATTTCACTCTGTTGTGAAAAATATGCAAAATTTCTAATTTTTATTTAAAATTGCTAACAATCAAAAACTTCACAGAATTATGTTGTACAGTGAAACCTCTATTAAAGACCACCTCTGTATAGTGACCTCCTCTATTTACCACCAATTTTGGAAGGCACAGAATTTTTTCCATTGGCTTGGTGTTGAAGAAAACCTTTCTGTGAGACGAGTCAAACCTCCACACCAAATGCAGAAAAAGTCTATTAAGGAAAACATAAAAATATGAAAACAAAAAATATAAACATAGCAAATAAGTAGATTCAAATTACTTGCGAGTGAGTCTTTTGAGAGAGCTTCTTTTTGACGATTTCTGAAAGAGATTGGCACCTTCATGTTGCAGTCTGTTTGCACTAAAGATAATGCTTTCACTGATTTATTTTTGAAGTTAAAAGATAAATTATTAAAAAAAAAGGTTATTTTAGAAAAAAAATTTAGCATCTTAAACAAGCAAACTAATATTCATGATATGAAATTGAATGCAAACTTAAGCAAAATCATAATTGTTTATTTATTTAAAATAGTTCTATAATTCATAATTGATTAATTCGCTTTTGCACATAATTTTATCAGTAGGGGTAATTTATCACAAAATTTTATTCCTACATCCGGTTTTCATGACTCCAGCAAAGTGGTTTTTCTGCACCTAGAAAATGACACGAAATAAAATTAAAATTGCTTGCAAAAAATCATGTACATTTGATGGCATTTTGAAGTCAATGGATGTAACCCCTATGAAGGACCAACCTCCATTAACGGCCATTTTACTGTGGAGCAGATATCGGTCGCTCTTAAAAGGTTTCACGGTATTATTAGTTTTTCTTAGTTTTTTTTTTTTTTTTAATTCAAGAAAATAAGGTTTAGCTTATGATTCTAGAAGTACAAATGTTTGGCACGGATATCTTCCACAAATTGTACAAAGCTGATTGAGCTATCGTATCAATTCATCCTGGTTTATAATTGAATGGACTATGATTAAGGAAAATTAAACTTATTGAATTTTCCAATATTGAATAAAGTTGCGGAAAATAAGTTATATTTGAGCAAGAAATGCTAAGATAAATATTTGTTGCTGTCAGAGAAAATGTCTAGAAAAGCCCTTATAATAAGACACTTTAACACTAAATTAAGAGAACTTAATATTCTGAAAACTATAAGGTTATATAAATTAAGATAGTTTGGATGCTTCTACAGATACAATAATTTAAACCAAATGAAAAACGATGTATATGTTGAAATATGGAGGGAGATATATATATGTTATAATTAAATAGTTTTTGACAGAGTTCTGCATCTTATATCTACTTTTTTTTCTTATTGTTAAATAAATTTTAATTAACTAAGCTATATTAATGTGTTTTTTAGATTTTTTTATAAGAGTAGTTTAGAAACCATAGAAATTTGTAGTTTTATTCAAAGAGCATAATTCTTATAAAAGAAATGAAAATGAGTTTTTTTTTTAGCTTTAGCAATAAAGTCCACAATTGAATTAAGTAGTTTCATCTTTGTCATGGAATTGAATCAAACCAAGAGTTAATGTTCTGTATGCAATAAGCCATTTTTAATTAGTTAATATAAATAATCTTAATTGCAAAATTTAAAAATTATTTTTAATTCTTTTAATTAATTATAACTTTCTTATGTAATATAAAAGTTTTTTTTGTGAATTTTTTTATGTATTAGTATATCAAATAGATATTTTTTTTAGATGTAGGTTTTCTGATTGGAGGAAACAGCTCAATCCAATATCTAGTACTACAAATACATTATGCAAATTCTTTACCAGGTATAACCTTTTACTGTTCTTATTTATGTATCAATGGTGATCTTAAAATTTCCTGATCCTCATCATTATTTTCTATTTGTAGAAGGAACTACAGACAACAGTGGGTTAAAACTCCATTTAACTACTCAAAGGTAAACTATCCTGTTTATTTATCTATGAAGTTAATAAATAATCCCTCAAAACTCTGAATTTAATTAGGGACAAAGTCTAGTTGCTTTCTCATGCAGCAAGCCAGTTCTTCTCTATACTATTCAATGTACAGTGCGCCTAAAAAAAAAGGCCACCCTGAATAACTTTTGATGGAATAATGGAATCTTCATGTTCTATATCTTAATGATTCAAGGGAGTGGCCTCAAATATGCTAATTGATGAGTAAAGAGGATATTTTAAGTTATGAAATCTGACACAAACACATCTTTTTTGACGGATTTCTGACCTCCAAAAATATAAAGGGTAGCCGCAATCTGGGAAATAGGGTCCCCATAGTTTGGTCAGAGAGCGATCCAAAGTTTGGACTCCGTAATGTTAAATTTTTTTTTTGCGTATTTCACTATATCTTGAGAACTTTTTAAGCGAATTGACAAATGTTGCACACAATTATAAAATTTGTTGATCCAAAGGTAATTCCATGAAAAAAATAAATTTTGGTAAATGTTTAATATTTTTTAATATCTCATTTAATAAAAGTCGTAAAACTTTTGAATTGTAAGGTTTATAAATTCTTAAATAATTTTAATGTATGGCAAAATACAAAATTTGAGCAAAATCGGTTGAATGGTTCCTGAGAAATTAAATTTTTTAAAAGTCATATGTTTAAAATTTGATTTCTCAGGAACTATTCAGCCAAATTCGCACAAATTTTGTATTTTACTATGCAAAATTAGATACTTCAAAATTATGTAAAAAATTGTACACCTTACTATTCAAATTTTTCGACTATTACTAAATAAAAATTTATAAATATTAATTGAAATGAATTTTTTACATGGATTTATCTTTGGATTAACGAATTTTATAATTGTGTGCACAAAGTTTTCAATTCGCTTAAAAAGTTCTCGAGATTGAAATGCCCAAAAAAATAAAATTTATATTAGCGCCTCCAAACTTTGGATCACTCTCCTGATCAAACTATGGGGATCATATTTCCCAGATTGCGGCTATATTTGGGAAGTCAAAAATCCGAAGCCAATGAGAAAAAAAGGCATGTTTATTCAGAGAAAGTTTGCTTTAGTGTCAGAGTTCTCAGTTTAAAATATCCTCCTCTCCAATTAATTAGCGTATTTAAGGTCACTCCCTCAAATCATTAAGATTAAGTCATAGAGCATGAAGATCTGATCATTAGATCAAAAGGTATTCTGAGTTGTCCTTTTCTTTTTTACGCACTATATAGTCGAAGCTCGATCCATCATTCCTTTCCCCTTATGTATAGTTAACAAAACCTGATTAGATAGTTTCTGAAACTAGCTCCCACCTATGGTTCAGAAAATCATCTAACATATAATGAGAAAATATTGATTTTTTTTTTTCATTTTGGAAGGAAAAACTAATATTAATGAACAAGAAGAAAATTAAAATTTGTCTCCCCAAAGTTAAGGAGGTTTGATATTTATGCATCAGTATTTGTAAATGTTGAAACTTTAGCAGACAACTGGTGTTGTCTGTTTAAGAAATGGTTGCACAAACTCAAGGATTTCAAAGTGATTCTGAAGAGAGTGAAATAAAAATACAAGAAGTTAAGATTTGAGAAAGACCTCAAAGCCTCTGAAACAATCAGAAACTTTCTATTTTCACTCAAACTAACTGAAAATTAACATTAATCTGTTTACTGTTTGTGGTGAGAAGAAAAAGAGAGAGTTCAAACAGGAATTTTCAAATAAATAAAAGTGTTTATTAATCCTTCTTTTGCATTAAAGAATTATACTTCTTTATTACTTTTCATACATTTTCAAGTCATTAATTGATATTTTATATTAACCCAGATTTGTCTTTTGTCCCATGAAAATCAATCAAATTTCTACTATACTTAAAAAATAATCCTTTAAACCTCTGAGCGGTAGTCTCGACTTTTTCCAAACTTGTAGCTCTAAGCTTTCCCGCCTTTTAAAGTCAGTTTCTCCCATGTTATTCAATGGAAGAGTGGTGATTAGCAAAGAAATTTCGTTACAATTTTTCCCCAAGGGCCCAATACTTGAGGTTAACTGTGACTTATAATTCAATTTGGAATTAAATCAAATTCGGGTAAAGTTGCTTTTTCGCACAGTAAACCAGTTCTTCTCTTTGCAATGCAATAGCAATTTATCATATGTACAAATTTTCCTAAAAAGAGCGATTTAAGATTTATAGTATTTGCAATGGTTTTAAGGCGTTAAGGTTTATATTTGCAATGGCGATTTAAGATTTATAGTAACTATTGTAATTGAAATGAATGTTTTTAAGTGTGTGAACTAAATATGTCTTTCTTTTGCAGGCAACGATACGTTACTGGAATACGTTTGTTGTTGGCAGATTATGCTCAAATACCACCTCATGCCCCAAGTAGGTTAGGTTTTTATATTCATGGATTATATATTATGTATCCTATAAACTTTTATGAGGTTTTTTTAAAGTTGTAAATAGTTTAAGATTTTATAATTTGAGTCAATAATTGAGTGCAAAAATTCTTGGTTTGTTTAAATAGTTCATCAAAAAAACTACAATTTACAATAAGGGGCTTAAAACTTTTCATTATTTTTCTGACTGAGCAATTTGGGACTGTATTTTCCAGATCTAAAGTCCAAATTTGTTGTAAAGAAAGGTATTATTTATAGAAAGTAGTGTTCTTGCATTTGATTTTTTATATATTAAATCGTAATATATCTTTTTTATCATAATTACTTGTTAATTAATATTTAGATCTAGCTCTCAAATTGCATTTTACTACCGGAAAATCTGATTATTTAATCAAAAGTTATGTTGGGGTTATTTGCAACTCTACGGACACTTCTGAAAATATGAACTGAATTTAAACTACTTAACAGAAATTGGTCTAGAAGATTCTGATAGCTTATCCCTGCTTTGAATGAAATGAACTAATAATTTTGTTAAGAGAGAACACCATCATTCTTCTTTTAACGCCTCCTGATAGTTTTCATATTTCGATTCTGAAACCTTTTTTTAACTTCTATCTCTGTCAAAAAATAATAATCCCAATTTAATAAAAAAAAAATTTTTTCCTCAGCATCTATTTCAGAAAAATTAAAAACATTTTAGGGTTAAAATTTTGACATAGAGAGCAATAAAAAATTCCAATGAGGATAATTTGAACTAATTAATTATCATTGTTAAAATAAAGTGCTCTCAATATTTTTCTCTCTCTAAATATAATGACTTGTCCAATTATTTTGATATTTAAAAAACAGTTGAATTTTAAAATTTTTATTTCAAGAACTATGTTACTTATTTCTTTCAAATTTTGAATTTTGTCCCTTGAAATTATGTAGTATAAAAAGATTAAAAAATGTGTTTATCTTAAAATTCCAAATTTTTGACCCTTATTATAATAAATAATTATATAAATAAATAATTGTTAAAAATTATGTTACAACAGATATTTGGATAAATTATTTTTAAACTTTATTTTCTAATTTTCATATACTTAAAGTGTTTGCTAGTTATGGTGACCTTTTACTTGTTGATCATGTCTGTTCTAGAAAAAGTAAAATTTAAATATTTTTAGCTTTACCTTAATTTTACTATCTGCTTTAAATATTTATTATTCAAAAAGCTTCCATGTTTTCAAATTATTTATAATTTTTATTAATTTTTTAATGAAACATATTTTCTTTCTTTTTTTAGATTATCATATTGATGTGAACTGCAAATTTGACGAAAATTATATCATTCACCCATTCGCCTATCGTGTTCATACTCATAAACTTGGAGTGGTTGTATCTGGATACTATTTTAATACGCATAATAAGTCGTGGACTTTTTTAGCAAAAGGAAATCCACAATGGCCACAAGTAAGTTTGAAGTTATCATATTTTCATTAGCTTTAATTTAATGAATCAGCTCAAATTTAAGCGATATAGCGAATTTATGTCATTTAATCTTTCAATGTTCAAATCTTGTCATTTTAAACTTGTTATCCTATAGTCAAAGTTCAAATCTTGTTGCTTTAAGTTTGTTGTCAGTGTTCCAATTTTGTTTTAAAATTGTTATCTTCTTAATGTTCAAATCTTGTTGCTTTAAATTTGTTGTCAATGTTCAAATCTTGTTGTTTTTAAACTTGTTATCTGGTCAATACCTTGTTGCTTTAAACTTATCAGTGTTCAAATCTTGTTGTTTCAAACTAAGATTAATTGATCAGAGTACTCATGTGCCCAAACAAAATTCTCCTAGAGATTGTCTAAGTAATATAAACCTAAATTGCATAAAATTAAATTAAACTTTTGCCAAATGTCCAGAATTTTACTGTTTAGCATAAATAAATAAGTTTTTGAGGACAACATTTGTTTAAATTTTATTTTAATAAATTTGAATTGTGCATAAGTGCCCTAACTTTTTTATAGAATTTCACCCAATGAAATAAAATTACAGTTTAATATTTTGTTTAATTGGTATTTAAAAAAAATTCAGCATGACTTATAATTTTATTCTAGATCAGATATCTTTAAATTAATTTTTAAAATATTAGCAGAAATTAATAAAAAAAAGAATAAGGAGACTTTTAAAATTTCTTGTACCTAGGAGAAATATCTGCAAAAAATTTGAAAATTGGTAGCTATAAGAGGCTTGTTTTTTAGTTGAACCAAAAGACTTAATTGAAAGTTTATTATCTGACGTGTGTGTGTGGTAGCTAGTGAAAAATGGATCACAGTTCACTTTACTGATTATATTTAATTTAATAAGCATTTTGTAGGCTTAGTCTTGTATTTTTTAGCTATTAAAATAAGTACTTAATTATTTAAATAAAAAATGTACCACCCTAAATAACTTTTAATGTAATGATTGTATCTGCATTTATGACACAATCCTAACGGTTCACAGGTTTTACTTTAAGTATACTAATTAATTAATACAAACTATATTTTAAGTTCTGAAATGAGCCTTAAAAACTTATTCTTTTAATAAACATGCAATTTTTTTGACGAATTCAGACTTCTGATCCCCTAGATATAGGAAGCAGCCGCAATCTTGGAAATATAGTACCAATAATTTGGTCAGCAGAGTGTTCGAAGATTTGGACCCCTTAATGTTATTTTTTAATATGCCATATCTGAAGAACTTAAGTAAATTAAAAAAATTTCGTACAGAATTTTAAAATTCGTTTATTCAAAGATTCGACTCATTTAAAAATAGTCAAAAAAAAAAAACTTTTGAATTGCATGGTATACAATTTTTTGCATCATTTTAAAGAATGCAATTTTAAAAGGTAAAATACAAAATTTGAGTGAAATCAGTCGAATAATTCTTAAGAAATTAAATTTTAAATTATGACTTTGTCAAAAAATAAAATTTACATTAAGAGTTCCAAACTACTACTACTGCTACTGCTGCTACGGACTACTGCTTTGACCAAACTATTGGCACCATATTTCTCTGATTGTTGCTACTTCCTATGTTTCGGAATCTGCCAAAAAAAAGGTGTGTTTCTTCCAGATAAATTAAATTTTTGTGTCTGATTTTAACNTCATTTGTATATATTTATACATGTATTTCCATTATCAAAATGTCATAAAACTCAAAACATGTTATATATAGCATATAAATTGTAGAAATGCATATTTCTTGTATCGTGACAAAGTCACTGGGGGGATACTCTGTAGCGATTCCCTTCTGGGAAATCTATTTTTAGACCAAACCCCCAAATTGTGCCTCTTCAGCCTACCCTGAGAGGCCGGGATTAAGGATATCCAGACCATTCCAGTGAGTATCCCCTCAGCGAGCGGTCGCACACAAACTTGTTATTTGTTACGTTTTAATAAAATTATATTAAGTTTTAAATCGTCATCCTTATTCTCACTACATATTGGAGTCCTCATTAATTAGTGATTAGAGGAAATAAAATTACACCTTGAAATCCTCTAAAGTTGAACCAAGAGACTTAATTGAAAGTTTATTATCTGACGTGTGTGTGTGGTAGCTAGTGAAAAATTTACATAATGTAGTAGGATCACAGTTCACTTTACTGATTATATTTAATTTAATAAGCATTTTGTAGGGTTAGTCTTGTATTTTTTTAGCAATTAAAATAAGTATTTAATTATTTAAATAAAAAATGTACCACCCTAAGTAACTTTTAATGTAATGATTGTATCTGCATTTATGACACAATCCTAATGGTTCACAGGTTTTACTTTAAGTATACTAATTAATTAATACAAACTATATTTTAAGTTCTGAAATGAGCCTTAAAAACTTACTTTCTTTTAATAAACATGAAATTTTTTTAACGAATTCAGACTTCTGATCCCCTAGATATAGGAGGCAGCCGCAATCTTCGAAATATAGTACCAATAATTTGGTCAGGAGAGTGTTCGAAGATTTGGACCCCTTAATGTTATTTTTGAATATGCCATATCTCAAGAACTTAAGTAAATTAAAAAAAATTCGTACAGAATTGAAAAATTTTTTTATTCAAAGATTCAATTCATTTAAAAATAATCAAAAAAACTTTTGAATTGCATGGCATACAATTTTTTGCACCATTTTAAAGAATGCAATTTTAAAAGGTAAAATACAAAATTTGAGTGAAATCAGTCGAATAATTCTTAAGAAATTAAATTTTAAATTATGACTTTGTCAAAAAATAAAATTTACATTAAGAGTTCCAAACTACTACTACTGCTACTGCTGCTACGGACTACTGCTTTGACCAAACTATTGGCACCATATTTCTCTGATTGTTGCTACTTCCTATGTTTCGGAATCTGCCAAAAAAAAGGTGTGTTTCTTCCAGATAAATTAAATTTTTGTGTCTGATTTTAACTTAAAATATTGTTATGCACTAAATAATTAAACTGTTTGAAGTCCCCCCTTTAAATCTTTAAGATTGAGTTCTAAAAGAAGATAGGGTTGTTAGATCGAAAGTTATTCTGTGTGGTCTGTTTTTTTATTTTGAACTCAGTGCACACATAGAGATTATTATTATTGGGCCGAAGAATAATTCTCTGGTTATCAGTATAATTCTCAGGCTATGAATGTAAAGTGAAGTTGGAATTTGTTGTGGCTTTGTGAAACAGATATGATTATTCAACATAACATTTATATTATGTATCTTAAATGACATTACACAAAAAAAATACATATTGAGCCAAATCTAAAGCAGGCGATAAAACATTTATTTTTGTTTCATACGAATTCAAACTTATGCATTTTACTTTTTAGGCATTCTATCCATTGGAAAGGACACACACAATAACAAGTGATGATATTTTGGTAAGTAATTATGCCGAACAGCATTTTGTTCAATGTGATCCATATTTGTGTATTGGAACTAACTCTGCTTTTGTTATTTAAAAGGCTGCACGATGTACATATGATTCCTCAGAGATGAATGTGCCAGTAAAATTAGGGTTAGTAACTGTTTATTTCTACAAATAATTTTTGTAATTGAAATCTTTTATTCTATCTCCCTGTGTCTGTAAATGTCAGACCTTATGTTGGTCTGACAAAAGTGTTGGATAAAAGATCCAACACTTTTGTTCCCTCCGCCTTTTGTCACAAACAGTCGAATTTCATCATATCCCGTTGTCACATGTCAATCATATTATATAAACATATACTAGCAGTTCATTATTATTTGTTAATAGGTCATATTTCATATTTGGTTTTTAAACTTTAAAATCTACACTTCAGCTTTTTTATATTTTATTTTTGTAAATCTTGTTAGAAACAAGGTTAGTTATTAAAAATGGAGTATAAAGTGTTTGTGCAGCAGCAAAAAACTTCACATTTTTATTGCTGCAATATTCCAAAAAGGTTACTAGTATATAGCTTTTCGAAGTTGTAACTGATAGACAGGATTTGCAAAAATCTTGATTTTTTTTTATTTCTTAATTAAACTGGATTTGTTTTTATTTACTTAGGATTTTTTTTATTTTTCTGATACTAATTAGTATTGTATCTTAATAATGTTTAACATTATTTAAAAACAGTATTATACTTAAAGTTATTATTGTATTTAATTACAGTTAAAGTAATTATGGAATTATGTTACAAATAATTACTGAAAAGAAAAATCTTTAGTCCTTATTGAAGCTTAAATATTTCCATAAATTAATAAAGAAATAGAATAAATTGTCAGATAGTTAATGACATTTAAAAACATTATTATACCCAAAGTTCTTAATATTGTAATGTAATCAAAGTTCTAATTAAAAATGTTAAAGCAATTTTGTTACAAATAATCACTAAATAGAAAAATTTGTAGTTGTCTTTTTTTTCTGAAGCCTAAAACTTGCATAAACTAATAAAAATAAAGAATAAATTTGTCAGATAATCAATGAAGTGTAAATTAAAGTAGATCAGAAGAAATCAATTCTAATTTATTTGGGGCAGAAAGGTCCTTCTCTGTTATAAGTTTAATAAGTATTTGCATTTAAACCAACATAAAACTAAATTGGCATAATTGAAATATTTTTATTACATAGCAAATTATTTTAACTACCTCTAATAGAAAGTTAAAATTTTAAAGCTCCACATATTTTTAATCCATATTTGATCTTTTTTTTTTAATTTATGAAAGTTAATTTATTGTAGCTATTTTTTTTATTCAATTAACATTAAATATAATTTACGTACATAATTTCGCTCTCATAATTTCTCTAGATTAAACTTTAAATATATGTGAAATCAGACTTTTAAAAAAAATCCGCAATCTTAGGAATACACAGAGGAGCCTCGATTATCTGCACAATTGGATGGTAAGGGTAGCTCTGATAACAAAAATATTGGTTAATTAAAAAAAAATACAACAAGTAACGTGGAAGCACTAAAAATAATTCTAAAATTTTTGATGTTGTGGTTTTTTAAACAGACAGCCAGAAATCTTGTTTCTATGTCTAAATCACTGAAACAACGAATTATGAATAATAAAAAAATCATACTTATACAATTATACAATACGCTTGGTTCGTGGAAATCAATGATTGATCACATGCAATATAATTTTTTATGTCTTCTCAGAACTCAAGGATAATTGGGGATCTACTAAATTTTTAAATTATCCTAAATCAAAAATATTGTTTGCCTAAGATCAATGGAAAAAAAATCAGTTTATTTAAATAAACCATTTTCTTAAAAACATAAAGTGATTTAAATCATGCCAACCCTTCTGAAAAAATAAAGAAAAAAAATGTAAAAATATATATTTCTTTTTTGTAGGTCATCATCCACTGATGAAATGTGCAATCTTTATATAATGTACTACACTGAATATAGAAATGCTCAGGCTGGGCAATCACCTCCATGTATTGGTGTCCAAATCGGGGAACTGGTCGAGAGATTGCCACCCGGTAATGACGTGCCCCTTCCTTCGAACCCAGAAATGGAACAGCAAGCATATGGACACAGTCATCACCAACCTATCTCTTACAGTATTGAAGATGATAAATTGGCATCTTCCTCTTCCTATAATCCTGAGTATGTTCTAGGGAACAGTGCGAATCATCTTGTTCCTAAACCAGCTGATTTACAACTGAATAACGAATACAGTAAGTTGGAGCCGTTCTTTATGGTACTTAACTGGGAAAACACAATAGAGATGAAACATGCTTAGGGTCAATTACTAAAAAAAAAAAGTTTTGAGCCCAGATAAACTTTGACTCATAATCAACCGTTACTACAATTTTACTACTTTCTATTAAACGTTTTTACTACTTTACTTTGACATTCTTACATTATGCAGTAGATGAAGCAGAGTGAAATAAAGTTTTTAAACTTAACGGTTTAGAAATAGGGTTTGTGATTGGGAATCTTACAAGTGATAAAAACAAACTTTAAAGTTTTCTGATGTGGACAATTCCTATAAGACATTTTTCCTTCACATTAAGTTCTAGATTTTTCTCTTGACTTTTTAATAAGGTTATAATGAGGTAAAAGGTTATAATGATAAAAAGGTTATAATGACTAATTTTCTTTTCAAATCATTAAATGCTGAGTGTTAAGACCACAAATTTTGGCTTTAATCCGAAGTATATATCAAGCTCAGATTTCCTAAAGCAAGCCCAAACTCATTTCGTGACAACAGAACTAAAAAACTAATAGGTAGATAATTAGATTCTATTTAAAAAGAATGTGGATGACTTGCACACGTATAAATATATTTTTTATTAGAGTTAAGTATGAGATTCATCGACTTTTGGTGGAATTTCTGAGTTTAAAGTTAATCAATGTTAGCTCTTTAATCTAAGTGAAATAATTTTGCCAAATTGTTGATTAGAAGAGTGTTAATTAAATTATTTGTAAATATTATAATTATCATTATAATATTTATTGTATTAGAAATTGCAATAAAATTTTTTGATGAGAAAATAATAAAAGAAAATGCTGTGTTAAATTTATGAAATGCTGTGGTTTTCTAAATATTTCCACATTATTTCACTTTATTCTCTTTAATCATGATTTCACTGCAAATGATTTAAATGTTTTTATTTTGAGTAAAGTAATTTCACAAACTTTTTTTTTATGATTTGTGTTGTATTTTCAGACTTTTTTAAATTCTCATTCTCAAGGCTGTAGACTAAGGACAATAAAAATAGAAGTTAACTCAAAAAACTATTTACTACAAACATAACAGATATAGTTAAAATATTACTAAGTATATTATTATGTACACAAAAAATTTATACTACGTGCAGTTGTAGAAATTAAGAAAATTTAGTCACTGCTCCAAATACCAGTAACTAGAAAATATTACTAGTTTGTTGAGATTTTCTCTGATATGTTTGTATCGATTAGATTTTCATTTTGAAAAGAAGTTAATAAAGTCAATGTAAAAAATGTTAAAGAAAAATTACAATACAAAAATTGTGCAATTATTCCAGTTATGATGAAATGTGCCATTTTGTGACCGCAACTGAATTTATAACGCAAAATTAAAATATATCTATATTATGTCAATCGCTAGTCCAAAAATTGTTTTATACTGGTCCGAGTCAAATTTTAGAGATCTGGAATAAAGGGACCACCATTAATTGCAACCCCTTATTTCTATACCAAAATACTGAAAATTAACAATTTTAAAATTTTCCAAAAGATTGTATTCACTGTTATTCAGAAAACAAAATTTGTTTCTAATGCAATACAATATCTGTTTAATGTGATGGTAATTTTAGAAATGCTCTTCTCTCAAATAAAATTCATTACTCTACCATCATAGGTACTTTGCATGTAAATAAAACAATAACCACAAAAATGCACAGCAATAGGTTAGCATTTTTTTCCTGTATCAAATTTTTTAAAAAATGAAAACTATTCCTTATTTTACGTAATAAAGATAGTAAAAGAAAACTTTTATTTGACATATCTTTAATTTGTACTTATCAATTTTTTTAGCTAACAAATTTTTTCCATTTTTTTTTATTTAAACAAAATGTCAATTTGTGCAGTTTATCTGCAGATGTGATAATCTGTAGTGCTGGGTTGTAAGATTTATGGTATCTTGTTAGTGTCGGATCAGGGTACAAGTCCAACTACCATATGTTGTGCATCTCAGTCTTTTCAGTTATCAAAGTCTTTTTCTTTATGTTTATTATTTTATATTTTATAGTGTACAAAGAAGTATATGGCTGGCCTGCAAAAAATTTGAAGTTTGGTCAGGTGGCTGCTGTGACAGTTGACCATAATGGTAATGTGGCCATCTTCCATCGTGGAAGTCATGTCTGGAACGAATTGTAAGTATTTGTCTCCAGTAAAATTTTGGATTTACCTGTCTAAAACTGGTTTAGGACAGGGTAGATTAATTTTTTTAAAGAAATACTATAAGATGCTGAACTTAAAGTTGTAAAAATAAAATAATATCCTTTATTTTCGCATGTTTTCAAACTAAAAACATGGAGTATTTTTCAATTAAATCCGTTTTCATTGAACTATTGTTTCTCAAAAACTATTCCTCAAATTACATTCGTAATTTGGGTTTTGTCATTTAAAATTTACATAGTTTTAAATTTTATAATCATTCCAAAACATAAATATTTTAACGTAAAAAGATATATGATTATAGCAAATTATTTTTTCCACTGAATCATATTTGGGTTACATAATAATTTGAAAAAGCTTTTCAAACATTTCATGAAAAAGTGATTTAAAGTATTTTTTTTATTTTATTTTGCTGACTGTATATTTAATGTTGTTCATGTTATGGAAAAATCGCTGTAAAATGAAAGAGAAATCGCAAAGTTGATTAATTTTTATAAATAAAATGTGCATTGTATTAAGCTGATGGAGAAACTGTTTGTACAATAACAACTTCTCTTCTGACAACACAAAGGTAGCACATTAGCTTAGCCGTTACTTTGTTTGACTAGATTAATGTTTGAATTCAATATTTGAAAGTGTTGATTGGCCTACAAGCTGTGAAATAAGACCTATTATCACAATTTTAACGAGAAATATTCTTAATTGTGAAATTCATTTTTATGAGAACTATTCTGTCTCCCTTTTTATGGTCCAGATATGGCTCTATCAATTTTTGTTTTAATATCTTAAAAAATCTCTTGCATCCAAGAACTTTGCTAGTGATGTTGTTTAAATGTAATACAGTCTAACCCTAATCCATCATTCTTTCATCTTCCATTTTCCCCAATGTATTGTCTTGTTTTGACAGTCCCGTCACAAATGCTACTCTTATAATATTAATAATAACCCTCTGGATCATTTTTTGAAACTAGCAGATTCCCACACTTAGGATTCAGAACTTCTACCAATATATTAAAAAAAATTGGTTATTTTGTTTTGAGAAGAAAAATATTTTATGACGAAGAAGTAACTGAGGATTTGTAAAAATTTGGGGAAAAACACCTCAAACATCAAATTTGATATTTATGCATCAGTTGTTGAAAAAAATTGAAATTTGTCAAGTTGTTGGTTCAAGGAATGATTGGAGAAGTTAAAGAAACGTAAATTGTTATTTACAACAATGGCAAAACACAATCAAATATTTAAAAATTGTTTAACCATTTTTCTTTTGCATCGTAAATATTTTTGCAATAAGAAATTTTGTAGAGAGATTTTTTTATACTTATTTCAAATTTATTATTTTGTAAATCAGAAATCAATTATTTTGTATTATTTTTCATGCATTATCAAAAATTTATTTGATATTATATGTTGACTCACATTGTTTTCTTGTATCTATTGTTCTCAATCAATGGTTCCACAAGAAATGTTCAATCAATGTTTTATTGTATACCAAAACTGGAATATTGTACAGAATGGGAACTGGTTCAGATCACAGGTAGCTAAATTCTACAAAGCTGTTATTTTGCAATTAGTGCTAAAATATAACTTAAATCTTCATATGTCAAAATGAGGTTAAAGTTTTGTAGGTTTTCTGTAATAGAATGCAAATGAAAACAAATTTTTAACTTTTTTAACTAACTAACCTTAACTAACTAATCTAACCTTTTTTAATATCACTGGATGACCTTTTTAAATTATCCAGTTATTTTTTTATTGTTGTCGAAATGATCACTTATTCAAGTTATTAAGTAAAATATATTATATTTTGGATTTCATCCCAACTCAATTTATTTTCAGATCATTTGACGTGTATCACAATTATAGACCAATTCAAGATGGTCCTATCAAAACACCCACCATTGTTCACATCGAATCTGCCACTGGATTGTTACTTAAGGAATGGGGAAATGAGTTGTATGTTGCCCTTTTTTTATTTAATTACTTATCCTTTTGATTTGTTATTATTAAGATGTTCATTGTTTTACTTTGTGTTCAGATTTTACATGCCCCATGGTCTTTATATACATTCTGATGGAAGTTTTTGGTTGACAGATGTTGCTTTGCATCAAGTGAGATTTTGTATTCTATTACCTTGTTCAGTACTTTAGTTTCTCTTTGATCTTTATAATACTACGTCTATGTAAAAGTTTTATGTGTACTGACTTCTACATATAAATTAATTTAGGCTCTTATGCAAGGGAAGGGGGGAAATTTTTGATCAAACTATTAGTTATGTGACCAGTAGGAATGTTTAACTTCAATGGCTAAGTTCGATTTAACTGTTTCTGGCGAATCCCAAAGCAGATGTATGTACTCATTTAAATGATGGTGGTTGACATTCTGCCGAAAAGAAGTCAGGGGATAGGTGGATAAAAATTTGGTTAAAATTTTGTCTTTAAGCAGTCTGACAATTTTTATGATACTAGTTTAAAAGAGATGCAAATGTTTTGAATTTCTTATTTACATTTTAAAAATATTTCAGGATGGAAATTCATAACTATAAATTGAATTTTATTATTAGTCACTTTTAATTCATGTTTGTTTATTTATCTTTTTCTAAAAATGAATGACATTGTTTGATTAATTATGAATTTTTAGGAGGTATTTGTAATTAGAAAGTCTGTCTTAAAAATTCTCCTTCGACAAATAGTTAAGGAAACACATATTTTTCCATTGGCTAAAATGGAATATAGCCCTTATAACCTGCTGAAATGGAAAAGCTTTTTTGATGGTCAGCCCTTTAACTTCGATAGCAACCTAATGTTACAATTGAGTTGCAGAAGCCACCTACAATCATATATCAATCAAAGGGTTATGAAAGATACGAATTGAAAGAGCATGTTTGAGTTACATTAGGAAGGCTAAAAGTTTCAAAATTTAAAGCTTCTTTTTTTGATATGCAACTCAAGAAAAATTTTTACTTAATAATGAAGTGATATTTAGTAATAAGTAAATGAGATTTTATATTTTTCTCGTTGTTCATTACCAATATTAACTTAGATTTAGCAACTTCAGCAAAATTGGATTTGTTATCTTTACAGTGCCTAACATTTTAGGATTAATTTTCAAATAATCTGGTTCCAGAAAAAAATTTTGTAACTGAAGTTTAATATTTAATAAATATTTTATTCCTTGTCAGTTTTGATGTGTAAAGTATTTTATTTCAGAATATTTTTTGCATAAGAAAATGGAAATAAATCTTGCAAATTTTCTTTACATTTAATAAAAAAGATTGTTTTATTTATTTAGGTTTTCCATTTTTCTGCTGATGATCTTAAAAAGCCAGTACTTACTTTAGGTGAAAGGTTTATACCTGGGGATGACAAAGACCATTTCTGCAAACCTGCTAGTGTTGCTGTAAGCAAAAATGGAGATATTTATGTAGCTGACGGGTAAGTAAATAAGTATGCTTAGCATAATTTTTTTTTAAAAAGCCTATTTTAGAGGGTTACAAAATTTGGGCCTGGAGTTTTGTGGTTTTTATACAAAATCTTTATTATAATTTTTTACTTAAAAAATAGTAAATCAATTTAAAATATTTATTTATAAATGAGACTATATAGCATTCCTTTTAGATTTCAACTTATCTTTGTCTTACAATAATAGGTTTAACATTCTAACCAAAAAATAATTTGTAGTGTTTAATCCAAAATATTTATTTTATTGATTTGATAAAGAGCTGCAGTACATTATCTATTGATTGTCTTAATACTTTTACTAATTTTGAAAAATAGATAATTTGAAAAGTAATCATATAGTAACAGTAGCAAAAAAAATTTTAAAAATTTTACACTGGTTACAAAAATTAGAGAGGAGTCTTTGTGGTCACACTTACTTAGATTTTATGTTTAAAAAATAGATTAATGTATTATTACGTAGTTAATATTACTTAATATTTTTATTACTAGTTACATATAATCTTTATAGCAAATTCTTACCTTTAAATTTATTTAATATATCTCAATTCATAATTTTTTAATCCATAGTCTAGTTTATTTATTTAAGTCTATTTTATTTACGAGGGAATTTACTCGAGAAATTTGCTAAAATGCACATTTAAAGTCCCTAAAAGAGTATTTTAAGCAATTAAAAAAACTTTTCTTTGATCAGAAGTACTTGAATAAATAACAAACTCTAATGTCTGGAAAGTGTTGTATCTAAAAATATTTGTTAACTGTATTATATATATTCACGCAATAAATCATTCAAAATTAAGTTATGTCTAATAGGAATAATAAGATATCTAATATTATAACACTTTTAATAGCTTCAGTTATAAGACTTAATTAAAAATGTTAAAACACAATTTATATATCGTACAATTATAGGAGATAGTTTCTCCCTTCTAAAAAAACACACTACTTGGTTACATTTTAAAACACATGGCCCCCTCTCCTTCACCCGTTGCCACCCTCAGCAACAAGTGAAGGAAAAATATCACTATGGGGATTTTGGTTGGTTGGCGCGGGGCCGGAGGCCATAGCGACCAACCCGTTTGTGATAATATCATCATTTTTGAGATTGTAAGTTGAGATATCTAATGTGACCTTTTTTGTAATATTTAAAGCAATTAAAAAAAACTGATTTTTGTCAGGGAATACTTGAATAAATAGCAAACTCTTATGTCTGGGGAGTGTTGCATCTAAAAGTGTTTGTTAACCATATTATGTATATTGCGTAAATTCAAAATTAAATTATATCCTAATATGAATAATGGCATATCTTATAATGACTATTTTTGAGCGTGTAAGTTGAGATATCTAATACGGTCATTTTTATAACATTTTAAATAATTTTAAAAAAATTGTTTATGTCAGGGATTACTCGAATAAATTGTAAACTCTAATGTTGAAGGAGAGTTGTATTTAAAAATGTTAGATAACTGTATTATGTATCTTGTGACATATATCATTCAAAAATAAGTTCAAATGCCTAATACCCATGGAAAACAATGCTTTATAATAGCATATTGTCAGTCATGTTATTAAAGAAACAACTATATTAGAATTTTTAACTGCTCCATAAACTAAATTCTTACTGTTCTGAATATTTATACAAAATTAGTTGTTTGGTTGTGCAAATATTTAATAATAATTTGTAATTACTATTTTACGTAGGTATTGCAATTCTAGAATAGTGAGATTTTCTGCAGATGGTAAATACTCAAGTCAGTGGGGAAAACAAGATAATGTCTTTGAAAGTGAGTTTAATTTCTAATTTTTTTTCAGAACATATTTTTCTTTTTTTTCATAGACATCTTTTATTTTCATAAATTATTATTTTTTCGTATGATATAGTACTAATTTTTCTTCGATCACTTATTTTTCGTTCGGATATATATTCTGTTTATCAATTTTGTTTTCCTTACATTCTTATACTATTTTAAATATGCATAGTATGCATGGCATTAAAGTTGTAACGGATAATAAATTTCATAAAAATCATGTTAAAAAATTGCATTAGAACCTTAATAATTTGGTTTTAATTTCAAGTAAAAATTTAAATATGAAGAAAATAGTTCTCTCAAAAGGCTTTTCTAGTTTGATTTAAATGATTAAGTGAATTTTTGATTTAAATGATTAAGTGAGTTAAAAAAAGTATTTCAAAAGTTTAATTTTTTTCCCCTAAAAAAGCCCCAACTGTTAGATGAGAATAGATTATGAGAGAAAATTCTTAAATATAATTTGAGGCACATGACAGATATTTACTCAGCAGTATCTTTATTAGCAGTTCCTTAATTATCAATTTGCTCGCAATGTGTGATTTGTTGAAAACTAACGAACAATTCCACCATTTACAAGTATATTTTCTGAGTTGATATTAATTAAAAGCACATTTTTTTATTATTTTAAAACACATAATTTTTTTTTTAAAAAATCAAGAAGTTTTAATATTTTTTGTTAAAATTACTCTTCTTGTATATATTTACTTTCATTTTTAACAATTTTTGTTAAAATAATCTTTATTGTAATTTAATTTGTAACATTTTTGATTGGTTTCAAAAATTTTAAAAGGTAAAAACTGCTTTTACATGCATGAACTTATTGTTTTACTTCCATAAAAACTAACTAATTTATAAAAAAATTTCTGAAATTTAATGAATTTTGGAATAAAGATTATGATATCAAAAGTCATTTTAGAAAAATGATTAGAACTGCTTGTTTTTTTCTTCAATTGAGTTATGTGCTTTTAAAGACTGCGAATAAGACATGCATAAATAGTAGAATTTCCAAATATTTCGTTAACTCTATGTACCTATCTTAATTTTAGATTAAATCTTCTTAAAATCGCCACAGATGTGCTTAATATATATAGAATATTTGAAATTTTTGTTAAGCTTCTTCTAGGAAAATATATGTAGATCTTATAGCTTTTTATATCTATTGCAGAAGCTTAACTTATTTTAAAATCTTTGACATATTCATAATTAATCAGCATGAATTACTCTTTGTGGAATAATGTCACAGGTTACGTGCAAAAGTAACATGTCCTTCGTAATGCCATATTAATTTCTAGAAAAATGAGCTGGGTAAAAAAAAAATTAAATAAATCTATGTGTAAAAAATTTCTTTTTTTTCCTTTTTTTTAGTTTTTAGTCAAGTTTTGCATTTAGTATTTTTTTCTTTCTAATATTTGTTTGTTTTGCACATCCTATTTAGAATTTCAAAATGAGGAATGTCAATGAAACTTGGTGTGTATATATATATAATGTGAACAATGTTGAAAAAATATGGAATAAAAAAAAACTTAGTTTAAATATTAACGTATGTAGATCCTGCTGAGAAAAAGGCTAAAAATAAAGAATAAATTGGAAACAGAACACCTCATTTAATCATAGTTTATATTCAATGATCATTCCGTTTTTGTCTAACACATGTTCAAAACATGTAATATGTGGTTAAAATGTGGCATGAAGGGCTTCTGGCTCTGTTGCAGAAATAGCTTGCTTTCAGTTCTAATTTCATTTAAGCCGCTTTCTTAGCCCTCTGTAAAACTCGCCTCATCCTTAATTTCCTTGAATTTTGCAATCATTTCTTTCAGTTCATTCTTTTGTAACGGCATGGTGCAAGAATACAAAGCACCATCCCAAATTCAAAATGTGAATTTTTTTTATTGCATTTTTCTTTCTCTTATGATACATGCAATGTGTGTACCAAGTGCTATTGACATCCATGTACCAGAAAGCCATGTTGACTTAAACGGGGTAGTTTTATTCCTGTTTAAGTCAGTATAATAGAGCACTCAGTATATAAGAGCACTGTGACATATTTTTATCTCAAATTAATGTTTGAATACTTTTTCTTAGAGCTTTTTTCCCGCCTAACAGGAAATCCTCCCGTTGGTAGCTTCAGGATTCCTCACAAAGTAATCCTCTTGGAAGATAGAGACCTGACCTGTGTAGCTGATAGAGAAAACGGCAGGATTCAATGCTTCACCATGGTTACGGGAAGATTTAGGTTCCAGATTCAGAGAGAAGAGTTTGGTGGTACTCTTTACTCCATAGCATATTCTGCTGAAAAAGGTGACGTAATATTTGTATGATTTTTATCATAAATATCTTATAAAGCATTTAAAGCTTTATCAATATTTTGTTTATAATATAAAAAAGCTTAAATTCTTGAACTATGTTTTGCAGATTGAAGGAAGCAGTTTAAAATTTAGTTTACAATCATTTTTTAAAATAAAAATATATACTTGTACCTCGCAAATTAGTAATTGTAAGTGAAGGAAACTGCATGGTTTATTAACTGTGTACGTAAGTAAATTCTTCCGAACTCTAAATGGAAAATACAGTAATATAAATACAGTAATGCTTTTGATTATGTACTTAAAAGACCCATTTCAAATAATGAAAATATTTGGTGCATAGAAGTAAAAGGCATTGTTTTATTTTTTCAATTCTGAAAATATGAAAACCTGCTTCTCTTGCATTTAAATAAGACCAAGAGGTTACTTGTGGTCCACATTATTATTATTTTTTTAGAGTTTCTCACCATTTCCTTGTTTAAGCCCCCGATCCTGGGGTGTGGAACTTATGAGATTGCAAATAAAGCAATGTATCAGTATTGCATCTTGTGTGCATTGCATTTAAATCTCTTAAAAAAATTTTTTTTGTAGAGTTAAAATTTAGACTGCATATAAGTGAAAAAGAAGATAAATATAAAAAATCGAAAGTGCACTTGACAAAGGAGAAGAAACTCTCAAAATAAAATTCATTTTAAGAAGTATTCAGACAAAAGAGGTTCAGACAATTGAGATTTTATTGTATTTATTTATTTGTGTAAGTTTAATTCTATTAAAATACATATTTATTTGTGTAAATTTAACTCTGTAAAATATTTTTTTAATTGAAAATATTTTACACTATTTTTTAAAATTTATATTTTATAAATTTAATTTTAAACAAATGTTTTATTTTAACTAAAATATTTATCTAATGCTATTAAAGTTTTATAAACGCTATTCATATAATGCAGTCAGCCTCCCTTAAAGAAATATCATTGGTTCCAGCCAACTGCTCTAAAATAAGCAGGTTATTCAGTTATAAGCAAGCATAGTATTTCAGATTGAGTACGTTACTCAATCTGAAATGCTATGTTTTTGCAAAATTTATTATGAAATTGTATGGTATAATGAATTGTATATTATTTATCGAATTATTTGAAGGTAACCCACTTTAAATGAATAAACAATTATAATTGGAGCTGTATCATACACATAAATAACATTTAAATTTATGTATAAATATATTAAAGGTAATGAAAAGTATCATACTATTTGTTTCATTTAAAAAAAGTAATTAAAGACTCTTTTCCCACACATTTAATTGAACATTTGTCCTATTTCCGTCATTTTAAATATTATAAATTGTGAGTGAAGTGCGTCAAAAAATGCAAAAATCCCTTTTGTTTTCTACATAACTGCTAACAAGATTTAATTTATTTTTAAATTATGTCTTTTTCTTAGGGAGGGGGGCATATTTAGCAGGAAATGGCATATTCGCTGGAAAGTTCCTATTGAAGTGACCACATATTGTATTCTCATTTTCTTAATTGAAAGCTGAAACTTTGTAGCTGATTAAACAGTCCTTTAAAACAATAATGCCCGGTAGCTGAGTGGTAGCACTTTTGGGTTCAATTCTCGGGTCGGGCAAGGTTGACTCAGCCTTTGATCCCTTCAGTGGGTCGATAAATGAGTACCGAGCATGCTTGAGAACTAAACACTGAGAGTTCTGTGTTTAGCTGACCTCCTGACCGGCACATCTGCTCCTGCACCCCAGAGCTCAAGGTCAAGAAAACTGAGATGAGAACAGTAGACTTTGGCCCTCTATGGGCTGTCGTGCCACTGAGTTTAGTTTTAAAGCAATATTAATTTTTTATGCAATTAAGCACGGCAAAAATAAATATAATGAGAAAGTTTCACATTTGTTTATGTAAAACATTAGTTCCATTATTTCTTTTTTTTGTACTAGCAGATTTTTCAAAAATCTGATATTCAATTAAGTGGGTTTGACTGTAATGTATTCTTAAATAAAGACATATATTTCAAAAACAAGTTTTTAATATGCTTAGGAGCAAATTATTTCATTTCAGGATTACTAGTAGCAGTGTGCGGAGAAGCTGTTTACAAAGATCACTTAGTGAGAGCTTTTGTATTCAATGTAACGGATCAAAAGTTATTGAATGTGTTTGCACCCAGATCTGGAGTAAGTTTGTAAATGCCGGAAATTCTGTTATCACTGCTCTTAATAAATATATGCTTGTAGTATTTATGTGAAAAAAAGATACGAAATTGGAATCAAATACGGGGGAGGAATTAGTGTTTAATCAAAGAAAAAGAAAGACATCTAAATATCTCAAATCACTGCATCTTCAACATCACGTGGTGAAGTGATAGTTTGTTTTCCTCCTCAATCAAACAGAGAACGAACAGATTTTTAGTCTTGTTTTCTTCATTAGGAATTCAATCGACTTCAGTGTTCCTTTTTTTCCACACGCATATTAATTTCTTACCCCTAACATGTACTTTAGATTTTAACTAGGATTCTAGAAATATTAACTCTGGGTGGGGGTTATGTAATACCTTCTATTTATTGTTTCTAAGGTGCATTTTTTTCCTAGCCATAGTTTGTCTATAGAAAAAACTTCCCTCGCCACGAAGTCTAAGGTTGTCTGCTGCTATGGAAACAAGAAATAGCTCATTTCAAAAAGGGGAGCATCTTTCCCCCCTGATTCCCTTTCTCTTGCCGGCCCTAGCCAAAACGTGTCTTTAAAAATGACTTGAAATAGTTAAACCTCGTAACCATAGTCACTACTCCAGGTGAATGGCTGGGGGAGTTCTTTACATAGATAAATTATATGTCACACTTTAAATTTAACAAATGAAACTAGAAAAAGGTGAAATTATTTATTAAGTAATAAAGAAAGAGTATGTGATAAGAAATGTCCCAGTATATGTATGTTATATTAATTGAGTCAATAACATAATTTATATTGTAAAATGTAAAGGAGACTTTTCCCTTTCAGAAATAAAAAATTGTGATTAGTTTAAAAGGGAAAATGAAATTTTTATTCAATAAGAGGCCATAGAACACAGAAATTAATCTAATTAAATTGTCTTCAAATAAATAGATTTTACTACTTAAATAACACACCTATTGATTAATAAATTTAACTTTTATTTCCAACAAAGTATTTTTGAAGGGGAAAATCAATCTTTAATTTTATTTTTTACCTTTTCAAATTATTTTTTGATAAAAAAAAAATATCTTTTGAGCTTATTTAGGATAAGTCAGCATAAATAATTTTTTTAAATTCATTCATGAACAGCTTTGACTAGCTTAAAAAGTTTCTTAAGATTCCTTTAAATATGCTTTTAGGGGTCCTATAAAGGTTTTATTTTTCTGATGAAATCTTTACAAGGCCTTAATTTTATTTAATACTGAAATTAAATTATACATTTATTATCTAAAGATTCCTTTAAATATGCTTTTAAGGGTACCTAAAAAGACTTTATTTTTCTAATAAAACCTTTAAAAGGCCTTAATTTTAATTAAGACTGAAATTAAATTATATAATTGTTCTACTTACCATTTTTAGTAAATTTAAACATAAACAATGATCCACACAAAATTAAGAACTTCTTGGTTATTAAATATGCTTTCAAATTATTTTGACTGAAACTTTAGGTCATGGTATTGAGTTACAGAAGCTATTTGTATTTTTTCTATTAGGAAATTGTACGGGTATTTGGAAATGTCGGAAACTATTTGTATTTTTTTCTGAATTATTTTTGTGAAAAAGTTTTGTATACCTTCTTTATGCAACTTTTATTTTATTTAAACGTTATACTAAATTTTTATTGGCTTTTCAATAAAATTAATAGTTTAAACATTGAACAAAGACAAAATTAGTTGAAATTATAATTTTTTTTTAATGTTCAATTTGAAATTCTTGTGAAACATTTCCAGATGATTTCAAAAAAAGTGGGTTTTAAAAATAATAGAATAATTTATTTTATATAATTTTGTATTCTCTGCGTTTGAGGAAAGCAGGTTATTCAAATTAGTTAATATATGCCATAAATTAGATATTTATGCAACATATTTTTATTCACAAATAAGCACATGGTACAAATTTTTGAGAGTGTTCGATTGCTGAACTAGTTGTATCGAATCCCATACAATCTCTCGCCTTACTTATTTCTAATCCAACTTGATTAAACATAACCATCCACCATCTATAGATATAAAATGATATTACTTATATATATATATATATATATCTGTAAAATGATATCTTTACGCCAGAGTTTTGTGATAGTATATATATATATTTTTTTTTTAACTTTTTCATCTAAGCTTTTTTCAATTATGTCTTCTGGAATTCTTAAGTGATCTTGTTTTGTGTGATTAGGAAACTTATATAATTTTTCTTTATAAAAGTTAAATTAATTCTCTGCATTTGAGGAAAGCAGGTTGTTCAAATTAGTTAATATATGCCATTTAGATATTTATGCAACATCTTAGAATAAGAAGTTTTATAATTTTTCTTTATCGTTATATTCTTGTAAAAAATTTCTTTAGACGTTTACAAGGCCTCATGATTTAGCTATTTTACCTAATGGAGATGAAGCATTTGTTTGTGAGATTGGTCCAAATCTTGTGTGGAAATTTATTCGAGGTATTTGAACTTTAACTTTTTTTTTAATTTTTCTATGTTCTTATATCTTATCAGCAGTTTTTAGTGTAACCTTAACATTATTTTAGAATGTTTTATGTAATTTAAAAATTGTTTTTAATAATAATTTTTTAAAATTGAATTAAACTTTTGAGCTTTTACTCATGCTTTATACCCTTTATACTATTTAAACAATAATAGTTTTGGTTTTCTCTGCATGGAAGAAATTATTTTTTCCAATGTGTTCACATTATTAACACTTAACTGCACAAAAATATTTCAAATTTACTTCCCAACAGGTGTTATTGTTGTGATTAATTATAATGGTTAATTAATTATAAGTGAACTAATTGCAAGGACAAAGACAAGAGGTGTAATAAAATGATAAAATTATTTTAACCATCATTTGCTCAGTATTTGACCTAGTAAGTAAAAGTGCTATGCGACTTCATTGATCTATTGAGGTTTAAACATTTAATTAATGTTTATTAAATTTTTTGAAAAATTAAAGTTAATTAAAAATTTTGTAAAAAGATTTTTTTATTTTTTGTTTATTAAAAGGAAAGAAGAAAGGTTTATCTTCATTTTTCACAAAATGACGATAAGGTAACCATGTGGTGTATTTCGGGGATTCTTAAATTCTGAGGAATGAATCTATTAAGTAGAAAACCAATTTTACTCAAGAATTGTTACAAAGTGAAATAGGACCATATTGTGGAAAAAAAACCTTCTTGTCTGCCTTGAAACTCATGTTTTGTCAGAATCAGTTTTCTTGAACCAAAACCGTTCTTTCTCTTTGATCTTCAGGTATTTTTGTTCAATACAATTTCAAATTTTAATTTTGTTTAAATTATTTTATTTTTCATTTCAGCTTATCACAAGTCGTCTAAAAAAGTCCTTGATGTACCTGAAACAGATCCAAAAACAACTCATGCAAAAATCTCCCCCCACAGCCACGTACCACTATCAGGCATGCAGGACAAAGCCTTCGGAAACAAAACTCTTTCGGAGGATGAAGACTCGACTAGTTTTGAGACGTCTCTAATTGTACTTGCTCTTCTGGCAATTCCAATTATTTGCCTAGTTTTAGTCACGGTCATAGTTAGACTTCGCAGAAGAGGTATTTTATTATAATTTTTCAAGGAATATTTTAATGCAATATACAGGGTATCCGCACTCCTGGAAAGTCATGAATTTCGGTATGGAACAAAATTAGTCATGAAAAATCATTATTTTAACTTTTTTTTCTTCCATTTATTGTTGTGTCATCTTTACTTCTGTTCCTGTTCTTTTATTTTTGCTTTGCCATTGGAAATAAAAAAATTTTTAAAAAAAACAATTTTTTTCAAAAAAATCATGGGTTTAGGTTGCTGAATTGGTCTAATTTTTAAAATGGAACCCCCCTCCCCCAATTTCCAAATATCTAAATTTCTAACAAAATCCCTACTCACAGTCATATTTTATAAAAATAAAATTTTTTTTATCACGTTTTTTAAAAATTATGGTGTTTTTTCAAAAAATGAAATAAAACATTTCTAGAGCTAATAGTCTTTTAAACTGTGGTTTCAGAATTTTTTTAATTATTTTTATCAATTTAAAATTCTAGCTGAAGCAAATCAGTCATTGGCGAATTTTTTTTAAATTCCAAAATGACAACAGAAAATCAGGAGTATTTCTTTCCTTTCAAAGCAAGAAAAGTATCTTTAGAATACTTTTCTTGCTCTGCAGAAAAAAAGAAAATAAATTATTTGCTTTTGTATTTTTTTCAGCTATTTTATGGCTGCAGCACTTTCTTTACTTTGTTTTTTAAATTTAAAGTCTATAAATATGAAAATGCAGAGTATAACAGTTTTGGTTATACTTATCATTTCAATTAATGTTAGTATAATGCTTTTTTTAATTTATTGTTGTGTTTTTGTCGCAGAAAATAGTAACTTTCTTAAGTCATGAAAAATTTTTGGAATTAGTCATAGATTTGAAATTCTAAAATGTAGCAGATACCCTGAATATAATTGTTTATTAAAACGTTTGTTGCTTTTTAATCAAATGCTCCTATGTGATTGACTGTTCCCATCATCTTTATTGCATAATCGTTTCTGGTTTACTATATTTGTCTTTTCTATCCCTTGTTGACAAGCAAAGAATTCTCTCAAATTTATCCTCATCATCCTCGAATATCATATGGAAAGGGATAGTGTGAGAGCTGGGAAGATGAATATCAGGAGTCTTTTCAATAATTTGTTCTTTTTGCTGTCTTTAAACATTTTCTCTATTTACAGGTATAAGGGAATGAGAACGAATATGATCTGACCCTTTATAGCACGCATAATTTCAAAATATCTAAATAAAAAAATTTTTTATTTAATTTATTGGTTTTTAGATATATTTACAGAATCTTAATGTTATGAAGAATCTGTGTATGTATGTATATATATATGTATATATATATATGTATATATATATAGAAGGCAAATCCTTTATTCATTTATCACTAATTCTCACACTTCCCATGAAGTTAGAAATAGAAAAACTGAAAAAATTCCATTTGGATATTTTGTTATTATCAGGGTAACTAACCTAATTGATAATATTGCTAAATATCAAGTTTTTGGCAAAATAGAAGTTTCAAATTAGGATCAGATAAATAAAAAAACTATAAAAGTTTAATTTCAACAGTTTTAAGTATGTATTGGAGCTGTAATTGGATGTTTCTTCTTCTTCTTGGGCACCACAGCCTATGACAGGCCAAGACCGTCCCAATAAGTTTTTTCCATCTTGATCTATTCTGTGTCATGGCCTTCCAGTTATTCCTATTATCTTTAGGTCCCTTTCATCTGCGTCCAGCCTCCTAGTCTGTGGACTCCTTTTCTTGTACCTTTTGGTTAAAAAAAAAGTTACTTTTTTTCAGGGTGTTGGTCTTCAGATCTATAAAGGTGTCCCAGCCACCGAATGTGATTGGCCTTATTAACATTAACTATGTCTGGTTGTGTATACTTTTTATATAACTCATGATGTAATTGGATGCTAAAATTTAAATATTAGCACATTGTTGACCAATGATGTGTTAACTAATCTTATCATGCCCAAACAGTGTTGGTGTATGATGACTTAACTCATTACTGCACTTGCAATGTCGAGAATCTTGCCATCATTCAACAACTGCATTTTGGCAGGACATCGCTCTATAGAATCTTTTGCTTTTTATTTCTATATTCAATTACAAAGTAATGGCCGTAGACTTGACGTAGTTCTTGTGTAAAATTGCTGGTCAACAATGTGTTTGTTAAATGTCGCTAATACTGGAATTTGTATGCAATTTTTAACAATGTGACTTATTCAAAACATAACATCATGCAATTTATCCAAACATTCATATTAAATAAAAAGTGTTTCATGCTAAGTGGGATAGTGCACCACATTTAAACGGATCCCATAATTTGCTATTATTAATTTGCATTAGAAATAGAATTTAGAAAATAATTGAAATGGTATGACAAGTTATTTTTCTTCTAAATTTTAGTACATTTTGGATGTCATTTTACTGATGATGTCTTAAAAGGCAGGGTGAAAAGAAATGGTGGGAGTTTTTCTTTATGGGGCACTATGTAATGTAAGAGGTACTATGTAATGTAAGGGGTGTTATCTAATGTTAATGGGGCCATGTAATCTCTATATACACCGAAGAGCCATTACATTATGACCACCCTGCTAATAACATGTAGGACCACTTTTGGCCCTCAAAACTGCTAGCACCTGCCGTGGCATTGATTCCACAAGGTGCTAATAGGCAGTCTGAGGTATCTGGTACCAAGCGCTCACCAACTGGTCCTGCGAGGGGGTAGCGTGGCAGCACGAATTTGGTTTTCCAAGTAGGACCACAAATGCTCTATTGGATTAAGGTCAGGTGAATTTGGGGGCCAAGACATGACTTGAAAGTCACTGGAATGTTCCTCGAACCAATCCATGACGATTCGACCCTTATGACATGGTGCATTATCCTGTTGGTAAACACCATCCCCCGCAGGAAAAACTGTTGCCATGAATGGGTGAACCTGGTCTGCAACTATGTTCAAGTAGCTTACAGACGTCAGGGATTGTTCTATGAGGATTATGGGTCCTAATGTGCCCCATGAAAACATTGTTCCTGGGCGAGAAACCATGAAAACCTGGGCGAGCCCATTGTTATAGATGGAGGGTGGTCATAATGTAATGGCTCTTCGGTGTATAATGGCATAAAACAATTTTTCTCTGTTATGTATTCTTAATAATCCAAATATCGTATGATATATTATCCAGTTTTCATGCATAAAGAAAAATAAAGATGGCAGTGAATTGCAGTTTAACAGCTACAAAGGTATTGTTTACCTGAAAATTACTTCTTTATCCATAATTTAGGGGTATTATTCTGTAATCCTTTCATTGTCTTTTTTACACATCATAACACATTCATCATCATTAACACAGAGGGTATTTACTCTCTGGAACACTTCCCAAATGTGCACCAAATTGGCAACTTTCAAAAAGCCGTTAAAGATGGGGTTAAACCAAGATTTTACCTTACAAACCTCTCATATCTAATTATTGCAGACAACTTTTAATGTATATATTTTTTACATTTTAGGTAAACTTCAGCAAACTTACTTTGGAAATCTGAAAGGTTGGTGGGGTGGGTACAAGACTCCCCACTCGCAGGACAAATTTAATTTGGGTAGCCTGCTGAACCCCCACAAGGGCTTTGATCGAGTCTCCCTCGAAGAGAGTGATGGTGAATGTGAAGATGGAAGTGACTCTGATGTTGAAGAATTTAGTGCTATAGCTAAGAAAACTTAGTTAATCTCCCTAGATTTCTTCATTCACAAATACTTGAGTGATTCTAAAAGTATGGTTTATATTTAAGGAGTCATTCCAAACACAGTTAATGATTTCTATTAATATTTGTTGAAAAAAAGCTTCTGTAGAACCCTGTTAATCCAAAATTCCAGAAAATACAAACCAATATTATTTCTCAAAAATTAAAAAGAGAAAACTCTTAGTAAAAATATTCATAAAATAACTGTGAAAAAAAAGAACCACTTAGTGAATCATACGATAGGAAAACAAATTATAAAACTTCATAATTTAAAGACCGTGCAAAATGGGACGATAAAATAAAATCACATAATCCCTTCTCTTACTACAGTTAAATTCTTTAGTAATCGTATAAAGTGTAATGTAGTTTACGTGGAAACACTGAGGATAGTATTGAAAATGCAATCATTCAAATTTGTGATTCATATTCATTTGTGAGAATAAAAATCATTATAAAGTATCATGAAAATCATGACTCACGTGTGCGTTTGTAATTTATGTTGCTTATCATGTGACTGGGATATAACACCAGAAAGTAATAAGCTAATAACACAATTTACTTCCATATTCAAAATCATATAGCGTTCTAAACAATAAATTTTAATGCATAGATTTCATTCAGCATTTAATACATTTTTGCCAAAATTCTGTTATGACATAAGACACTACTCTACTTTTGATTACGTTTACAACAGTTCCATGAAACACAAAGTACAATTAGAATTATCTGATTTTTTGGAGAAAACCAAACAGGATTATCGAGGTTCTACTACATTTTAAAATAAAAATAATAAAATGATATTTCATATTGTTCCTTTGATTAAAGAAAAGAAAGATATTGGAATGACAAACTTAAGATATTATGAAACTAAAGATCCTATTTTGTTCTATTTTCCTAAATGAATGATGAAAAACTTTTTATAGAATGATTAAACTTAAAAGTGTCTAAGCTATGGATTGCTGACATTTTTAAATTGGTTTAATTTTTTATTATTTTGAAAATTGGTCGTTTTTTAATGAAGTATTTATTTAAAAAAAACAATTTTACCTTTCAATTTAGAATTCTTAATGTTTTGTTCCCACTCTTTTAAATTAAATCTGCATTTATTCACTGTGTTCAACCATTTTTTAATGTTTTATTCACTTAAGAATTGTTTCTTTATTGCTTACTTATATTAACCATTATGTGTTTATATTAAAAAAAAAGGATTTTACATTTAAGTTGGTATGACAAAGGTTTATATGTTGAGTACCTTAACATTACTTGTAATGTTATCTACAAAATTCTTAATGAATTTCATATACAGTAGAACTTAAGTCATTTGAAATTCAATAATTTAATTACTTTGTGGGAAAAAATGAAGCAGAATTAAAATATAGTTTTATTCAATTTTAAATATGTATTTAAGAAATGATAAGTTTTTAGTAAACCTAAAAATAATTGAAAATGTTGCACAAATATAAATAAATTTGTTTTTCTTAGTTTTAAAATAATACAATAAGTCTAGTTTTTTTTTATCACTGGTATAATTTATTTAATCAGTTTTATTTATTACCTTGATATTTAATTATTTTAATAATCTTCCTTAAGATATACAGTAGAGAATTTATGTAACCTAATTATCTAAACCACAGTTTTCCACAAACCGCCTTGACATTTCCAATGTAAATAAGGAAACTCTTATTAGGATTTTCTGAAATTGAGCTAGAACTATTAACTGTTCACAGGCTGCAATAAATAAATAAATTTTGCTAAGAGGTATCCATCTCAAAAGCAAATAAAAATTAACCAATTTTTTGTTGTTGTTAATTCTAATGCTTTTGAAAATTTCAGTGGTTTCTTTTCTGTAAATAAAAATTAAAGTCCAAGTTTTTGTGTTTTAAAGTATTTTACGTCTAAGAATTACTTTAAAACATTTAAATATTGAACTGTTCTAGAAAAATATTTTGATGTTTAATAGGTAAGCTTAATGATATGTGACCAATGCAAAGATTTATGTTTCAAGATTTGCATTTTAATGATTTTCTAGTGTATTTAACATTTCTCAAAAAAAAAATCATGGACTTAACTAGTAAAAAAATAATACCTAAAAATATTTAAAATACCTTTTAAAGAAATATGTATATGTACCCCATGTGTGTACCCTAAATATGTACCCTAACTGTTCAACTACACATCTGTGATCTGTCAAGTCTCATCCATAATCTATGCAAATATTTCTTGCCACTATTTTGTATTCTTTTATAATCACTTGGTTTGTGTAAGGACATTTTTTTTAAATCTAAATATCTATAGCAAAGATTTATTATCTTGAAAAATATTAAAATTTTTAGGTGACTTAAAAGAATTTTCTGAAAGAGCTAATAAATATTATAATGAATTATCTTGCTATTTCACCTCTAGGATAAGGTGTCCAGAATTGTTAGTCACTATTTCATAAGTTTTTTGATTCAAAATAGTGTTTTATAACTATTATTTATAAGGAAGTAACTGCAGACAGGTAATTTTATTTGGTAATTTAAAATGAAAAATATCGTTAGATTTATTTTTTGATGACTTTTGTGTTTTAAATTCATTGAGATAAACTACAAATAGTATGTTTTATGAATAAAAATAGTTTTTTAAGTCGTAGTTTTGTAAAACACAAAAAGAAGAAGAAAAAACTATTGGAAGCAATACTGTAGAAGCATTTTATAAATATTTTTCTTTAAGCTGGATAAAAAGCATTATAATTTTTTACTTACTTTTATTTAATGCTTAAAAGTTATCTATATTTATTCGTTTTGTATACATTAACATCTGTAATATTTAAAAAAGAAAGCATTTCTTTTAAGAGGTACAATAAATTTTCAATTATTAGGAACTGCTTTAAAGTATTCTTATTAATGAAATTGTCAAGAATTTAAACTTTTTTTTTTACTAAAATTATTATTTTGAAAAATTGTGGGATCTATCATTCTTGCTCTATGATCCTTTGGAGAAAGAATCGTAGATCTATCACAGTGTAAATATTAGTGAGACAGTTTACAACGAGTTAATTCTCTTATTTTTCAGTGCTCATTCAGGAACAACTGTGACATTTTCTTAAAAATCAATAATTTTTTCACTATTCTAATATATACATGTTCCTGAACATTCTTCTAGAACCATAAGCTGAAAGTTGGAAAAGATGTAGCGCATTTTGTCGAAATGTATGACGTAAATAACCCTTCATAAACTTCAAACAGTAATTTTCAGACTCACAAATTCGCTACCTTTAATCTTTCCTACTTAATTGAACACCATATATGACCATCATCTTAGAATTTTTTTGTATTATTAGTAATTTTTATTTATTTAAATTATATAAAGCAGTCTTTGTTCAGTATGCCTTATTTCGATAAAAGAAAAAAAATTTGCAATAAAAACTACCTCTTTAGTATCGAAGCTGTTAAATTTTTGAAGTAATACAGATGAAATTAACAAAATTATTAAATATGCCATTTTCAGTTATCTTAAAAAAGAAACCTTATGTATATGTAGTATTTATTAAACTGTGATAAATAAGCTTGTTTTATAGCAATCACAGATATGTTTTCCCCTTAAAGCAATTTTATTTAAACTACAGTATCAAATTAGACACAAAACTTTTTATTATATGAGCTTATTATTTATTTTCAATTCTTTATTTTTGTTAAATAATTGATATTTTACTCTGTGATGTCCGACACTGCACAATTATCTTAAAATTTCCCTGCAAAACTGTGCAGTGTAGACATTTTAGTTTTATCTAGTTAATGGTTGTATTGTAATTTTTAAAAAAAAACTTATTTTGATGTTTTAATTGTGACTAGTGTAGATTGTGATATGGTATTCTTTTTAAGCCACTAATTCTTGAATTATGTGATACTATACAGGATACTTTCATCAGAGCGGTTAAAAATATAGTGAGGAGATAGGGCATATTATAAGGATTAGAAATTGCATAGCCATCCAGACCAGGAAATTTATTCATATGCCATCAGGGGTACTTCCTTTTAATGAACTGGCTGTTCATGCTCATTTGAACTGGTACTTTTATTTATTTGAATTACCTTTATTTTTATAAATTTCTGTTTTCTAATAATCATTGCCAAAAATTGGATACAAATAAGTGCACAAGAGTAACTGTTTTATTTTGTGACGAAATCAGCAGGCTCTTCAATTTCCAAATCAATAATCTGTGATTAGACAGCTTACTTTGCAAGTTTTTGAATAGCAAATTTTGACAGTAATGAATAGAAAACATGAAATTAACACAACATGAATGAAACAACCAGTTCTTGATGAATGAAACAACCAGTTCAGATATGCATTGAGAGCCAGTACACAATAGGAGAGTTCTCTTTGTACTCCTCTGTACTCTTAGTGAATAAAATAGTCATCTCAAGGTTACATGATTTTCCCACTCTCCCCATCTCCGTTACCATGGTTTCAGTGTCTTTTGCTTTTTCAGCACATCAGTTTATTCCAGCTAATTATTGAAATGTAGTGTTGTTGGGGGGGGGGAATATTTGCCGTAACCTAGGAAGAAGAAAAATGTAGAGTGGGGAGAATTGTGTAACCTTGAGTAGCTTATTCTAATTCGAAGGAGTATAGTGGCAAGTGATTACTTTTTCGATTCAGGTTGCTGTTTGTGACATGAATTGCTGTGCAATTTTCAATCCTATGATGTGCCTGACCTCACCACCAAGTTTTCAACAGCTGTGTTGAATCGCCCTGTATGCGTTTTTGTGTCAAGATTTGAATTTCTATGTTCGCTGTGTATTGTTAAGACGTTTAAAACTGTACAAGATGTTCCATAAAATCTGCCCTTAATATATATTTTTCTGATATTGATGGAAGATGGTAAGAAAGAAGTATATGAATTTGGGGTTGCAAATTAGTATAAAAGTAAAGAAGAAACAGTTGAAATCTGATTGTACAGGTTACCAAAATCAGTAGCAAAGAGGAGCTTGGAAGATGGTTTACTAGTAATGATTACAATTTTCATCCTGCTGTTAATTAGCTTTTGATGTTTTGTACACTCTTAAGTATTAATTTGCACCCCCATTTTGCATACTTCCTCGCATTTTTATAAGGATTCTTATATATGTATAAGAATTATTAAATTATTATAAGTATTTTTGATCACATAATGTAAAGGTCAGTAGGACACTTCAATGGGGAAAAAAATCTAGTTTATATAGAAGTTTTTTTTTTTAATACTTGTGTCTAACTTTGCAAACTATTGATTTTGACTTGTTTCCAAAAGCAATAAAAAGCCTTCATTTTAATCTTTTACTTACCACACTTTTCCTGAAAGTGGTTTTTCTTTTTACACATCAAACTGGTCCATAGTATTGTTTCCAAGTAGATACTTGAATAGTTTTGGGGAAGATTTGCTATGCACAATACACAGGAATATCTTTCTTTGTAGCTTTCACCAGAAATTCTCTGTTTGAAGTCATAAAAAATATTGCTCCACGACACCCTTCAAATTTTCTTTATTTTTTTTAGTTACTTGAATTAGTGGCTTTATGTTACAAATATGTAAGATATGAGTGATGGTCCCTTTTATGTATTGATTTTGTTCTTAAACATGACATTTTTGTGCCTGTATGTGCAGGTTGTAAATGTTGTACATAATTCACATGACATGAAAAAATATATATATATATTCTGTTATAATGTATGATATATTATTTAATGGCAGCTTTTTTGTCATTGCAAAAAGAAAATATTATTTACAAAATTTCTGTAAGCTTATATGTTCTGAAATACAATTCCTTTTTTTTTTAACTCTTGTGGTATATTTTTATTTCTTGGTCGCAAATAATCTACAATTACAACACAAAATCTTTTAAATTTCATATTTGGATTCTGAAAGATATTTAAACAAATGAAAGAATCATAAAACACTGCATACCATTCTCTGGTCTTCACAAACTTTTCTGATTCTTTCTTCTTAGATATAGTATACTCTCGATATCTCGAAAACCTTGTTCTGTCAAAAAAAATATTTTTCCCCATGGCATTATATATCCACCTAATGTTAATTTGAATTCCTATGTTGAAAGCTTTCTTCTCAAAACCTTGTTCTATAAATAATTTTTTTTTCGAAGTAGAAAATTAATTTTTTGCGAAAAAATCCCAATGTAACTTGATTGTAAGCAATTGTTTTCTATTTAATGCATAATTATTTTTTTCTCATTTTTAAAAATAAATTATCATTGTAGCAGTTAGACTTATAGTAAACTATCACATGACTACTTTTTAGCGTATATTTCTCTATTTTTTAGAACATATTTAGTTCTGAACTTGCTATCTGGAAAACTCACTATCTTGAAAT